TACTATTGTTATTGTTGTTGTTATTGCAGTTCATTCACAACGGGCGGTTGCGTGGCCCAGGGCTCGGCGTACTGCGTGGGGCAGGGAGTCGCGGGTTCGTCGGTTTTGACCCCGGGACATCTCTCTTCACAAGAGCTTTGTGGCTCATCGGATTCCTCCAAGATCAATAAATATTCCCCGAATCGAACGGACAGCGTCGTCGGTTGCTCCGAATTCAGTTCTGGGATGGGGGGGGGAGGGGAGATTTGGGAGGATATTTGGGGGGATTCCTTCCGGTTGGCACGGCGAGTTGCGGCACCCCGGGCCAGAGATGCCCACATTTGGGGTGAATCTCCTTCCTCGAATTGCCACCTTCCTCGAATTCGCCTCGTGGATCCTTGGCCGGGCGAGAGAGCCTAAACCGCTCTCGTCCTCCTGTTGCGAAAATGCGCGAGACATAATTATGCGGGAAACAATTCTCATATAAATAAACGTTACGCAATTACGGCGAACGGGTTTGAGGCGAGGTGTGACAATCGTGGGCGACCATTCCATTAAGACATCGATCATCTCCGTGATGTTTTTGTTGAAGGCAGGGCGGGCGACATTGGCCGCTGGATCACGAGAGCAGATGAAACACCAAAGACAAAGTTCCCCCGTAAAACCTTCACGTACTTTTGGGCCAAGTGCTGTTAGCGAACACACATGAGCAACCACCACGAGAGGGTGCTGGTGATACAGGTGGTACAGGGGTGCAGGTGGTACAGGGGTACAGGTGGTGCAGGTGGTGCAGGTGGTACAGGTGGTACAGGTGGGGGGGGGGGGGGTAATGGGGGGGTAATGGGGGGGGGTAATGGGGGGTGATCCGTGCTAATCGGACGAACCTCCGATTAGCACGGTTGGCTACGTACGGTGCGAAAGCGCAACACATACACAACAGACACACTACACACACACACTGCACACACACACACTATATGCACACACGAGGCGACGCGTATGAACACGTGCGAGTGTTGCGTGTGCAGTGAGTACTGTGTTGTCTATAGAGTACTGCTGTGTGCAGTGCGTACTGTGTTGTGTGCACAGCACTGTTGTGCGTTCGTGGCGTGTGGGCTGCTTCACGTATCAAGTTCAAGTTTATTCACCTGTGTGCCCAGGTGAGAACTCAAGCCACCAGGATGTGAGTCTCATTTGTCAGAGTGAGCTGGGGGTCTGAGTGTGCCAGTGGGGGCGGGATGCGATGATCGCCGCGGTGGACAATCCCAATCGAGTCTCTCGCGGTGTCAACCTGGCCAATGTTGCACCCCCGGGGGCCGGCACACCACGGGCCTCGCTCTCTCCCGGACGACCTCGCTGATGACCTCAACCAAGGGATCTTTTCAACCTTCACGGTGAATGCGGCGCACCGCGGTCGACGCCTCGGCAGTAACTGGGGCGGCCCGCTGGAGCCGAACCGTGAATCGTGAACCTCGATCGCAGCTCCAGCCGGGCGACTCACTCGGGGGGGATGGCCCAGAGGGCCATGCTGTGTGGGGTCGCGAGGTCGGGGGGGATCGAATGGCTTCAGGGCCCAAATGAATTAAGTAGGCACCGCAGATACCAAATAATTAGTTTTTTTATATTCGCGTGCCCGTGTGTGTTTGCGCGTATGCTTTGTGCGTGTGTAGGTGCGTATGTGTACGTAGATGTGTGTGCGTGCAAACACATTTGAGGGGCGATCAAAACAATGTTTGAGGACGTGCTGATGATGAAGGCAGACTAATATTTACGTTTCAATATAACCGTAACTGCCTCAAGTACCGACTCACTGATCACCCCTGTGTACATTTGTTGCGAAAGGAGCTAGCTTTTTTCACACATTGGTGCTTTGATTTTCTCAATAAACTAACTCGTCGCACGACCCTGTATCGTAAGTACGCAATGATGGGCAGCAGGTGCGTCCCGTTCTCAAAACACTTTTGACCGCCTCTAGTATAAACGCGATCGCACGCACAAGTGCCATACGTCTCTTTCCGACGTGAAGCTCGGGAACGAGTCCCGAGCGAGCGTAGTGCGTGAAGCGGCGACAACGGCCGTGTTTGAGCCCGTGGAGTCGACCAAGGCAATGACGACGATGGTGACAATAACGGTGACGATGAAGACGACGACGGTGAAGATGCTCCCGTGTGCTCGGCGAGCGTCTCCGAGCGTCGGTGACGCGAGCCGAGCGTGACCACGCGACGTTAATCCCACTTAACGCCAAAATATATCCGTCTTTCTGTAAAACCTAAAACACAGCGACATTTTCAATAAATTACATTGTACTTAAATAGTTCAAGATTTCACGGTGTGACGCCCTTCAACAAAGTGCGCAAAACGGGTAACTACATCCTGGATTTAAGACGACTAAAATGGGGGGAGAGAACGGCGGCGCAGGTGCGAGCGGGCCGCGCACCCCAGCGACCCGAGACTTCGATCCCAAGGAGCCGCGTGGCGAGCGATACACGCGACCCGGTTCCGAGCAATCCCCGTCACCAACCCGCACCGATCAGCACGGTCAAGTATGGTCAAACAATTTGCACATTGCGGCATGGGGGCGGCGGGCGGCTTGGTCCGCCCGTCAAAGATCGTTCGCCGTGTAGTGGGTAACATCTGGAACGGAGGCGGTTGCGGGTCTGTTCATGCGCGCGACTAAAACCAACCTGCCATAAAAACGGCTCGTCGGCAGGACGGCACGCGCGCGCCGTTCCCCCGTGCCAAAAGGGGTGCCCACCCCCCCTCCCCGCCTTTTGGCGATGGGAACGCGCCACGAGTTTTCCAAAATCAACGCGAGATGAGCGGGCGGCGCGCGTCAACACGATGCCCGCGTCGCGCAGAGCGGACGCGTCCCGCCGCAAATCATCGCTTCTCCGGTACTGATCTGAGTAAGTGCATTCTCTGGGGCGGAGTGTGAGAGGCGGAATTGCTCTGTGCTCATACAAGGAGGAAAGATTTAAAGACGTCCACTGGAAAAAAAATAAGCCCAATGGTTAACTCATAACGATAAACTAAACGATTTTTTAAAACATTTTTTTCATTTGACCAGGTAAGGCGCCATTGAGCTACGCAGCTCTCCTTCAGAAGCGACCTGGCCACCACAAATGATAGCTCAATGAAGTGGCGGCTGATCATGTGGATATTTATAGCAGCCAATGATCTCAACGCATGGTTCTAAATTTGGAGGGGAAAAAAAACACCAGAGGACTCGGAGAAAAATCCACACGCAAACACGCGTGCACGCAAACACTCGTGCACGCAAACACTCGTGCACGCAAACACTCGTGCAAGCGTGGCCACGCTTTAACATCGAACCAAACCATGCGCACACACACGCGCTCTCTCAAATAAATATATGTAGTGTGATCATACACGCACACACACACACAACATTCCCCTCTGTCCCGCTAGCGAGCAACTATCAGGGCCGAGTCCAGTGTGACCAAGCCATTACGCCTGGCCACCCTGGTCTCCCCCAGTGCTGATGTTTACACGGTGCAGCAGGGACTCATTTCAGGTGACGTTGTCCCTGGGGGACGGCCCAGGACCGGTTCAGAGATCACTCGCGACCGACGCTGGCCGTGACCGGGAAGCAAACTCGGCTCGTCGGCATTGGTGGTGCGGCGCGCTAACCACTGCCCCACCGCTCCGCGTGCAACCCTCAAGCACACACACACACACACGCGCGCGCGCGCGCGTGCGCACGTACCCACGCTCGCGGAAGTCGGGACTTAGGTCGAGGTTTGGGGTCAGCGAGTCGCAGGGTCGGGCGTTGGCGAGCGGTGCGAGTGGCGCCGGTGCCAAGCGGAAAACCACGTGCCTCCATCTTTGGTCAAGCTTCGTGCGTCACTTACAGCCGTCGGTCGGTCAACCGCTCGACCGTCAAAACAATCGTGCACCGATTAGACAGCCAACCGTGAATCCGTCAACCATCGGCCAAACGGTCAACCGTCAGTCACCGGTCGCCCCCGTGGGCTCAGAGTTTGTGTCGCCCCGCTGAGCGCGGTGGCGCTGCCGCTCAAGCGGCCGACGGCGAGCGCTCGTCACAGCGAGGCGCCAACGCGCACGTGCACAGCGTCCGTGTAAACGAGCGCACCGACGCACACGCTGCATGGGACACGGTATAACCACACCGAGGCACGGTATAACCACACCGAGGCACGGTATAACCACACCGAGACACGGTATAACCACACCGAGACACGGTATAACCACACCGAGGCACGGTATAACCACACCGAGGCACGGTATAACCACACCGAGACACGGTATAACCACACCGAGACACGGTATAACCACACCGAGGCACGGTATAACCACACCGAGACACGGTATAACCACACCGAGACACGGTATAACCACACCGAGGCACGGTATAACCACACCGAGGCACGGTATAACCACACCGAGGCACGGTATAACCACACCGAGACACGGTATAACCACACCGAGGCACGGTATAACCACACCGAGGCACGGTATAACCACACCGAGGCACGGTATAACCACACCGAGGCACGGTATAACCACACCGAGGCACGGTATAACCACACCGAGGCACGGTATAACCACACCGAGACACGGTATAACCACACCGAGACACGGTATAACCACACCGAGGCACGGTATAACCACACCGAGACACAGTATAACCACACCGAGGCACGGTATAACCACACCGAGGCCCGGTATAACCACACCGAGACACGGTATAAGCACACCGAGACACGGTATAACCACACCGAGGCACGGTATAACCACACCGAGACACGGTATAACCACACCGAGACACGGTATAACCATACCGAGGCACGGTATAACCACACCGAGACACGGTATAACCACACCGAAACACGGTATAACCACACCGAGACACGGTATAACCACACCGAGACACGTTATAAACCACATCGAGATTCGGTCGAGTCGCACGGGAGTTGGCGGCTTGACGCCACAGGGAAGTGCTCACTACCACAGATATGTATTGCTGCAACGATAAACGAGTCTACCTGCGGGCCTAAAATTCCGCCACAAACTAATTGCCACTAAGTCCGCTTACTTCTCAAAAGAATATTTCTAAGACGGGCATCCAAACCGCCACATTATTTTGTTTTAGACGCGAGTATCTCTCTCGCTCCACGCCACTAACAATCAAGTTATAGTTCCATCCGCTTCTCATCTGCGCCGTCAATTGCGGCCCGAGTCAGCGCTCGTCCGAGCCGGTCACCGCACCGCCACGGTCGACGAAACCCCGGTCCGTGCCACGACGCGGTTACGGAACGACGCCGGGGACGCGACGGGTTGTCGCGGCGCACGCCGCCGGCGTCTCCGCCGCCACCGCCGCCTGCCGGCCGAGGGCCTCCAGGCACGCCGCTGCCGCTTGCCACGGCGGCTCCCCTCCATCATCACGGCGGCGTCGCTCGCGCTCCTACGCCGTGGGCTCGTGCTGCGCTCGCTGCTGCTGCTGCTGCTGCTGGGAGTGGAAGTCCAAACGTCCGAAATGGTCGTCGCTGAAGATGAGCTCGTCGTCCACCTCGAGCAGCCCCGTGCTGTCGCCCCCGCTGGTGGCGCCGCAGCCGCCGCGTGCCGACCCAGGGGACGCCCTCGCTTGGCCGCCGGATGGTCTGGACAGGGAGGACGATGAGAACGAAGTTGGGAGGATGGAGACAACGGGAAGGCGACGACGGGCGGCCATGGCGACGAGAGGGAGGGGCGGGAAGGGGTGGGGGTGGTCACGTGACGCGGCGGCAGCGCGATCGCCGCTCGTTGCAAAGGGCCGCAAGCTCGACACCGACAGGCAGCCCTGGTTATTACTACGGTGCGCGTATTGACGGTCCAAATTCTACGCTGGGTCTGCTTCACTCACAGTGGACGTTATTAGAGATCCCGTTCGAAGAAGAGCTGTCCATTATGTGTCACGGTGCGAATTTGTCAAATTCACGTAATTGGGCTGACAACCAGCATCATCGCCCCCTCGTGTGAAACTACCGCAGACTGCGCCCGTGAAACCCAGCGGCGCCCTTCTTCGTGACTACAGCCCTGTGCTAGAACAATGGCACGATAGCCAAATGTACTAAATCCCTATCATTAGCAGCCGTTAACAACCTGTTTGTGCATCCCAACGGTATCCAGGCTTAACGCCTGCTTAGCTTATGAGATCTGATAAGATCGGGTGCACGTTGCCTGATTTGGTCATAGGCTCGCGACAATGATAAAGATGCCCCGAATAACCTTAACAGACCGTTGGGGCAAGTGCTGTTAGCGAGCAGCACCTATGAAGTCCGGCACGGCACACGAGGGAGCGGGTGGCCAGCACCACGCCCGGCCACCTTTGTCTCCCCAGTAGCGATGTTTACACATCGTACCAGGTACTCATTTGAGGCAGAGTCGTCACCAGGTGACGATTCTCTGGACCGGTGCTGGGCCGCCCCTCGATAAGCACACACCCACAAACACACAAAGTCGGGACAACTTTACAGATGGCTTCAGGGTCGCACGGTGGCGAGATGTTAACTACCTCACCAGGTATACAGGATATCACATTAATACACATCACACACTAACACGCACCTCAGATCAACACGCACCTCCTGCGACACTTAACAGGCGTGGCACAAACGTCACGCCACGCACAAGACGTGGCACACCTCTGGCCGCGAGCCACTGTTCACAGAGAGACGTCTTCTCTCCTTGTATAAACATGCACAGTTACGCATGGCCTAGTCACACACAAAGACAAGGATCTCCCACGTAGCCTACAGCGGCTGTTGGGGGAAGTGCTGTTACCGAGCGCCTATGAAGGTCAGCAAGAGGGGGTGGGTCGCCAGTTCCACGCCCGGATGACTTCGTCTCCCCAGCGCTGATGTTTACACAGCACACCAGGTGCTCATTTGAGGCCGAGTCAACCTAGGGTAGGCCACGGGGATTCGTAGCGCAGTCCGTGAACCACTTTGCCGCCGCTCCCCGTGTACGCACGCGGTCACATGAGAGCGCACACACGATTGTGAAAAAACAACAGAATGGACTCAAATCCTTTTCGCTTTAATCACCACACGATGTTCCTCTGCGGCACCGTGGGGATCGGTCATCGCCATCGCCGCCGCGCCACTCCGTTCTATTTTAAGTTCGCGGCTCCCGGCAAAATTCATTAACACGATGTTAACCCTTGCCCTCAAAGGCAAAGATCCCTCGCATAGCCTTAACCGACTGTTGGGGCAAGTGCTGTTAGCGAGCGCCTATGAAGTCGGCCACGGCACTCGAGGAGGTGGGTGGCCGGCACCACGCCCGGCACCAGGTACTCGTTTGGGGCCGAGTCGACCTAGGGCAAGCCCACGATCGGTTCAGATAATCGTCGCCGGCGTTGGCCGCGAGCGGCGAATCGAACCTCGGAACTCCGGGTTCGGAGCGCGGCGTAGCGCCAAACGCCGCACCGCCGCTCCCCGCCGCCGCGCTTCACCGTCGGCGGCGGCCGCCGGCTGCCGAGCAGCCAAACCCGGCGAGAGCGCCGCCGAAGCCGCCGCTGACCGGCTCCCGCCGTCGTCACGTCTTCCACCCGCCCAAAAAACACTAAAACCTCGCGTGCGTCCAACTCCACGCAACTCCTCCTCGCCCCTCCTCCTCCTAGCCCACCGCGTGACAACCCCGCGGTGCCGCCACGTCCGCCGGTCTTGTGTTGGCGGCCAACAAACAACGCGGGCGTGACGAGCGCAACGCTCGCACCCCACGGGAGACGCGGCTACGGCGGCGCGCCACCCGGGAGCGGGTCGGCCAACGGGTAATGTCGCACCCCCTACTTGGCAGACCGTGGTGTGGCGGGGGGGTGAATTATTGACTTCAGCCCCCCACCCACGTCCTCCAATAAAAGAAAATCCCCGTTGGGTGGGGGTCAAAGGTAAAGGAGCGTGCGGGGTGGTGCCGCTGAGAACCTGGGTTCCAATCCGGGCTACCGCCTGGGATTAGACCTGGTTCTCAAGCCCAGTCAGTTGATGGTCTCAGTCTGGTCACCAGTGACTCCCGTAGAGACTAATAGACTCACAGAGATCCCACATTCTCACAGAGAGACCCACCAACTCGCATAGAGACCCATACTAAAATAGAGATCCATAGACTCGCATAGACCCAAAGACTCAAGTCGAGATCACATAGACTCACATCGAGATCCCATAAACTTATACAGACACCCATAGACTCACATAGACCCCATACTCTCACAGAGACCCATAGACTTGCACAGAGACCCATAGACTCACATATAGATCCCATACGCTCCCATAGAGATTCCATTGACTCACATAGAGACTCCCAGACTGCGTTGTGATTAAACGAGGTTCTCAAGTGTAGCGAGTCGATTGTCTCAGCCTCATCACCAATTACCGCACAAAATAAAAAAAACGAACAGGTTAAATGTGGATTCTGAACTTAAAGTGGCTGAATTCCAACTCTGAGAATTTAAAATACATTTGAATGTCACGCTACAAACATTACTCTCATGTTGAGCGGGTGGTCAAGTGCCACCCTCTACCATGTGTGGACCAGAGACCACTTCAAGAAGGGATCTCGCATTTAGCTCTGTGATATCCGCTTCTGTGGGCCGTTCTCGTCACGAGAGGAAGTTGAACGCACAGACACACACGCAAGCACACACGCACACACGCACACACGCACGCATGCACGCACACAGGCACAAAAAGACCAAGACACCCAAACACGTAGACATACACACAGGCACACAGACACACATGCACAACGACGCACAGACACGCACACAGACACGCACACAGACACGCACACAGACACGCACACGCACACGCACACAGACACGCACACAGACACGCACACAGACACGCACACAGACACGCGGCCCCCTTCGCCCCGCCGCCCGCTCACGTGGCGGTGGCGCCGCGCTTGGCCGCGACGGCGGGGCTGCCGTGACCGCCGCCGTGGCCCAGGTTGGCGCGCGTCCGCTCCAGCCGGGCGTCGATGCGGCTGAAGAAGTCGCTGGCCGTCACCTCGTCGTTCGGCGCCGCGTCCAGACGCCCGTCCTCGCGCGCAGCCTCCACCCTGCCATTGCTGCCGCTGCCGCTCCCACCTCCGCCGCCGGTACCAGCGGTGACGATTGTACCGGCGGTAGCAGCGGCACTGATGGGACCTTCTGTACCGTTGGAACCGGCGGCACTGGCGGCACTGGCGGCACTGGCGGTACTGGCGGTAGTGGCGGTACCTTCCCCACCGTTGGCCAGGGGCCTGGGCTCAGCGGTGCGGCCGCTGCTGCTGTTGCCGTTGTCCGGAGAGTCGGGAGGCCCCGGGACCGGGATGAGCAGCGTGGTTCTCAGGAAGAGCGACTCGTTAGCGAAGAGGTGGTTCGCCCGGCGGATCTGCTCCGTCTGGGAGGGGCAGAGGGCGGCGGGCGTGCCGGCGTTATGGGCGGGGTCCCAATGGCAAAGGGGTCCGCCACCGTGAGCGGTCTCATTAGTCCGGGCGTATGCAACTAAATCCGAAACTGTTTAAGTTTGCCAGGTGAAGCCCACCGAGCTAGGAGGTCTTCTTCAGAGGCGACCTCGCCACAAGCAATAGAAAGCTCGTCCAAGCCAATTCATAGTAGCAGTTCAATAATCTAAACGAGTGTTCCTAAATGTGGAGGGCAAAACTGGAGGACCGCAGGTGGGCCCCAACAGTGGCTCACCGGTGAACCACGGGTGGCTCACTGACCACGGGTGGCTCACTGGTGAACTACGGGTGGCTCACTGGTGAACTACCGGTGGCTCACTGGTGAACCACCGGTGGCTCACTGGTGAACCACCGATGGCTCACTGGTGAACTACCGGTGGTTCACCGGTGAGCCACCGGTGGCTCACTGGTGAGCTACTAGTGAGCCACCGCTGAGCACAGGCTGGCGAGCACTGCTCCAGACAAACAACAGCAAGTGGGGTCCCAATAAGTCATGGATCTTTGACAGTAAGCGGTCTGAGTCCCCAGGCTGGCATCAAGCCGCCTGTCTGATCAACGCAGGAATGCGAACGCTCACGGGAGACCGGCACGCGACCTCTCCACGATCCGTATCAGCGAATGGTGCAGCCCACTCCAGCAATTTGCAACGGAGCGGGTCACGTCGGCAGAATGCCCGCGCCGTTTCTACGATCCGAAGAGATCGGGGCACGTTCGGGTTGGTTTTGTCCAAGAGCAGAGGTTGTTGAAGCAACCGGAGACATTGAGAGGCATCCCAGCTGAGCCTGGTTTCAGGGTGGTGCTGTCAGAGAGCATTTTAAAGGCAGGGTGGCCTACAGATCTAAGCTAAGATTATTACTGCAATTTACACAACACACAGGTACACTGAATGTGTGCTTACACACAACACTTAAGACACCGCGTACACAGCAAACACTGCCGTATTTACATGCACACGCTAAAGGTCCTCCAGTTAGCCTGGTTCGACTATGGGGCAAGCGCTGTGAGACATTATTAGAAAGCCCAACCACAGGTTGATCGCATGGTGGGTTGTTGACCAGTAAAGTTTCCCCACATGCCCTGCTACAGATAAATATCAAAGTAATATTTGTGTCTATTCTTACAGCTGGAATTTAGACAATTAGGTGAGACACCAAATGTGATCTGCTGTTTAATTATGTGCACAGTCATTGATAAGAGATCTTCTTAAACGCAATGGGCCTCATACGGAATAAACTAGGCTGACTTGAGTAGCGACTGGGCCGAGCCCATCACACTCTCTACATTTCCGAACCCCGGTTTAATCACGGGGGGCTGAAGGCACGATCTCAGATCCAGGATCTCGCGACCTCTCATAGCGAGTCACACTTGGGTGCTTGCCGACGCCGCCACGTGTGCATCTCTCTCTCTCTCCGCCACACCTCTCGCACAGCCGGCACGCAAACAACAAAAAGCGAGGCGCTAATTAAACGGCGACTTTCACGGTGCTGCTCCAATCTTAGGCACGCCTGGGGATTTTTGCGCTCCGTCTATAAAAAGAAGCGAGAAGTTCGTGGCTGCACGGCCACCGTTGCCGACACGCTGGGCGGGGTGGCAGTTCACCGCGCTCAGGGTATTTCATCTCCGCATCGTGAAGAGACGAGTTCACCAATTCCCAAATATTTAACACCACCTCGAAATGCAAATTCACCGCGGAAAACACCGTCACCGCAACCCAATGTGGGATTACAAAGCGCCGTGTGTGGCGACGTGGCAGCGTCTCTATAACTGCCGTGCGCTCGCATCTTTCCATTGGCTGCCGGTGGGGTTTCCAGCAGAGTTCAAGATTCTTATCCTCACACAGAAGGCCCTCAATGATGCTGCTCCCTCAATGACGATATATACAGGAGCTCCTCCTCCTTGGGCCCGTACGTTCCAACAAGAATTCTTCGATCTTCCGAGTGTGGCCGCCGTGCGTGCTGAGGCGGCGTCTCTGTGCGACGACGCTGGGCGAGGGCCTCTTCCCTCGTGTGGCACCCACGAGCTGTGGAATTCACTTCCACTGGACGGTCGCTCCGCTGTCTCCCCTCCTCACTTCATTCAAATCGCGCCCTGAACACGCAATTATGTTTAAAGGGCTTTTCCTATTTCTTGAATCTGTTGTTTGGGGTTGGATTTCATTGGTGTCGGTTTGCGTGTGTTTGTGTGTGTGTTTTGCATTTCACATCATCGTCACTTAGTGGCGAATGGCGGGTATTGGTGTTTTGCATTCAGGCTGGCCTGTCTACGATCTATCCTGAGTTTAACCCGGCTGGATTGCGAGGTGCCCACAAATCCTTGAAAGATCTGGGCATATTCCTATCAGTGAGCTCCTCCGGCACCCCATGCCCAAGCAGCTCTGTTTGGCCGGATAGAGGGGGCTAATGGGGCACGACACGGGCTGGGGAGGAGACGGACTGATGCAGTACGGGAGGATGTGGAGGTGAGTGGACTTGCCAAAGACTAGTACCAGCAGTGTCAAGATCGGCCTCTATAGAGGAGGCTCGTGAAGGATGCTACTGGGCAGCTGGAGGAAGTCGCCCTCCAACAACAACGGAGTGCAGAAGAGTGACGCTCGCAACAACGAGCGGAGCGCCGGGCGGCAAAAATGCAGGAAGTTGGCACAGTCGGGGGTACAGCTGGTGCATCTGCCAGTCATCTCAGTCAACCCATGGCACCTGGATCTGTCCCGTGACCTCCTTCCAGCGAGCCATCAACACTTCACGTGGCCTTTGAGTGCACCTGGCCTGGCAGACGCAGTGGTGACGTCACCGTCACTTAGTGGCGAACGGCGGCTGTTGGTATTGGTGTGTTTTGTAGAGGGCCTTGTGACTTCCGGGTGAAATGCACTTTAGAAGTGTAAATTATTATTATTCTTACTCGAGTGGAAGAGTACACTTTGGTCAAGGGGATGCGATTGGCATGGGGCTATGGACAGGACAGCAACCTTTGCATCACTCACCTTCGTTTGTAAATTTCCCTTAACCGACCTGACAATTTACTGCTTTATTAGGGCCTCTGCACGTGCATTGGGTCGTGGGGGCTATTTTGACCATACTTCACCAGGCTGGTCTGTATGGTCGGGACGCACAGACGATGGAGCACAGTACTGTACCAATCATGAAGCTGGAGCATAGTGCAGCTAAACAATAGATTTCGCTGCAATGCCAATGGCTACGTACGGTGCAAAATAAGTTCAACATACATACATGGTGACCGCCCGTACGAGCACCCTGCGGGCTCAAACCCGCTTTGTTTCTGGAGCCCTGACGAGATTGAGTGCATTCTGGGCAATTTGGCCAGAAGAATGCTTCCTCTGCTACCCTCATTAAAACACAAAACCAACGGGAATTTCCATTTCCTGAAACACACAACAGCTGTTTGTTTGTCCTTTTCGAATAACCACTTTTTTTGTTGGCACATCAGAGGTTATCAGTCGGCTTCCTATGGGGGAACAAATTACCTGGAGACCAGCTACTGGAACCAATGCCGGTACGGACGAAGATAAAGCAAACAAGAGCCGAGTGATCGGACTCGGCGGAAGGGCTTCGCGATACTTAACAATACTTATCAAAGGCTAACGTAACGATTAACGAGCGGCGCCACCGTCGAAATTGGCTAACGTAACTCCGCGCGGCGGGGAAAAAAGCCTCAGTGGTGCGGCAGCGGCAGCAGCAGCTCCTGGAGCATCAGCAGCTCCTACAGCATCAGCAGCTCCTGCAGCATCAGCAGCTCCTGCAGCATCAGGGACTTCCAAGTGACAGCAGAAACGTTCAACCGGGCGGGCGGGCAGCCGCTTACTGTAAATGGTACTACAGATACGCAATACTGGGAGCAATAATCGTAATTATTGGATCAACGGTCAATTATTTTTGGAATTTTGACCTCGTTTGCATAGACTACATGAGCTTTCAAATCACGCCCCACTCATTAAAAATCGATGGAGCGGTCTTAGGAGTTCTCCTCCTGAGCAATATAAATATTATACCCATCACCCTTTTAACTAGAGCAGATCACACCGACTACGCTGACATTTCACCGGGAAAAAGCCAAATTCGTTTCATCATTGTCATGCACAAAGGGACGTTTGGCACTGTCGTTTATTGTGCGATGATGATGATGATGCCGACGTTTTACGAAAAGCGATTCAGCTCGAGGTAAATTCTCAAACAGACTTTGGCACTCGTCAGGACCTCCAACGGTGTGGTGGGCTCTCCATGAACCATTAGACGACACGGCGTTTGGCAATCGCCTGCGCACGCAGGCTGTCTGTTGCGTGACCTGGCACGTCACGTGGCAGCCACGCCACGTGTAATGCTCCCCACAAGGGAAACGCGCTTCAAAAGAATGGCCGAGCAGTGCACGTCCCCACGGCTGCGTGCGCCGAGCTGTCTGACGCACATTCTACGCTTCACTCATTAAATCAACAACAACAAATTCGGTGACATCAACCAGAGTTGTAGACACTCCAGTAGCATCGTCACGTCGAGCACGCGCGACCCCCTTTTGTAAACCCGCTGCTGGACGAGGGCTTCAACACGCCGTGCGTGTCGCGGAGGTTGTCTGACCATACTTCACCTCGCGAGTCAGCGCGTGTTGGTTGACGCGGCCTCGCAGTTTCCCGTTTGCCGCCCGTCGCAGGGGTTCGTGGCTCGAACCCAGGGTCCGCCCTTGTTATTACTGCGGTGGTTGCCCCGGGCAGACGCATCGACAGATCACGCCAGGGCCCTGCGCGTGATCGTCGATGGCCCGCCGCCGCGGGACTGGAGGCGTCCCCGGGGCAGACCACGGCCTGACGTGGACACGCACGATTGAGGCCGATCTCCGGCACCACGGCCTTGGCTTGCATTCAGTGTGGCGGCTAGCGCAGGATAGGATTGCCTGGTGGCGGCTTGTGGGGACCGCTACGCCCCGAGGGCCA